TGTAGAACTGGTTTTGTTGTATCCCACAGGTTTTGGTATGTTGTGTTTCCATTGTTGTTTATCTCAGTATACTTTAAAATTTTTCTTTTTTTTGACTTATTTTTTCAGGAGCATCTTGTTTAATATCCACGTATTTGTGAATTTTCCAAGATTCCTCTTATGAATTTTTAGTAATGTAACACTATGGTCTGAAATAATGCTAGACATGATTTTAATCTTAAATTTGTTAAGATTGCATTGTGGCCTAACATATGCTCTATCCTGGAGAATGTTCCATGTGCACTGGTGAAAGAAAATGCATATTCTACTACTGTTAGGTAGAAAGTTCTGTTATGTGTCTGTTAGGTCTGTTTGGCCAAAAGTACAATTCAAGTCCAGTATTTCCTTATTAATTTTCTGCTTGGCTCATCTGTCAATTGTTGAAAGTAGGGTATTAAAACCTCCTATTATTATTGTATGCTGCCTATTTCTCCCTTCAAGTCCATTAATATTTGTTTTATATATTTAGGTGCTCCAGTGTTGGGTGCAAATATATTTACAATGCCTATTTCCACTTGATAATCTGATCCCTTTACCATTAAATAATGATGTTTTGTCATGACAGTTTTTGACTTAAGTCTATTTTTATCACATTATAAGTATAGCCACCTCTGTTCTCTTTTGGTTACTATCTGCATGGAATATCTTCTATTCTTTCACGTTCAGCTTATGTGTCAAAGCTTATGTGTGTCTCTTGTAGAGAGCATATAGCTGGATCTTTTCTTTTAATCCATTTAGTCACTGTATATCTTTTGATTGGAGAATTTAATCCAGTTACACCCAAGATTATTATTGATAAGTAACAACTTCCCATTTGTATTAGTCCATTTGTGCATTGCCATAAAGGAACACTAAATACTAGGTAATTTGTAAAGAAAAGAGGTTTAATTGGCTCACAGTTCTGCAGGCTGTACAGGAAGCATGTCTCTGGCATCTGCTCAGCTTCTGAGGAGGCCTTAGGGAGATTTTACTCATGGTAGATGGTGAAGCAGGAGTGAGCATGTCATGTGGTGAAAACAAGAGAGAGTTGGGGAGAGGAGGTGCCACACTTTACAACCAGATCTCATAAGAACTCACTACTGCAAGGACAGCACCAAGCCATCCCACCTCCAACATTGGGAATTATAATTCAACATGAGATTTGGCAGGGTCATATATGTAAACTATATCACTGTTGTTTTGTAGCTCTTTTGTTCCTTTCTTCCTCTCTTGTGGTCTTTTGATGTCACAAGTTACATCTCTTTATATTGTGTGTTCCTTGACAAATTATTTTAACTTTAGTTACCTTTGACCATTTTGACTCTTAACCTTCATACTAAAGTTATGTATGATTTACACACCATGATTACAATATTGGAATATTCTGGGTTTGACTATTTATCAATACTAGTGAGTTTTATACTTTCATATTATTCATGATAGTGATGATCATCTTTTTACTTCTACTTGGAGAACTCCACTAAGCGTTTCCTGTAATGTAGGTCTAATGGTAATAAATTGTCTTAGCTTTTTCTTGTCTGTAAAAGACTATCCTTCATTTCTAAATTATATCTTTGGTAGGTATACTATTTTTGGCTAGCAGGGTTTTTTTTTTTTTCCTTTTTAATTTACCACTTTGAATATATCATTCAGTTCTCTCTTGGCCCACAGGTTTTGGCTGAGAAATCCACTGAGAGTCTAATGGAGATTCCCTTACATGTGACTTGACACTATTCTCTTGCTGCTTTTAAAATTCTCTCTGACTTTTGACAGTTTGAGAATCATGTACCTTGGGGAGGACTTCTTTGGCTTCAGTCTTTTGGGGGACTTTTGAGCCTCATGAAATTAAATGTTCATAATCTCTCCAAAGATTTGGTTTCAGCAATTACTTTATCAAATAAGCTTTCTGTCTTCTTTTTTATTCCTTTTCTCTAAAACTCCCATAATGTGGATGTTTGTTTAATAATATCTTATACATCTGATAGGCTTTCACTCTTCTCATTTTTGTCTCTTCTGAGTCATTTCAAAAGATCTGTCTTGAAGTGCACAGATTCTTTCTGCTTGATCTAGTCTGCAGTTGAAGCTCTCAACTGTATTTTTTATTTAATTAATTAAATTCTTCTGCTCCAAGATTTCTATTTGGTTCTTTTTAGTGATAGCTCTCTATTGTTAAATTTCTCATTCAGGTCATAAATTATTTTCCAGATTTCTGTGAATTCTTTATTTGTACTCTCCGATATCTTTCTAAGTTTCCTTAAGATAATTACTTTGAATTCCTTTTCAGGCAATTTGTAAAATTTTTCTGATCCATGAACACTTTTCTTCATGCTTGTTGGCTGCATATATATCATCTTTTGAGAAGTGTCTGTTCTTATCCTTTGCCCACTTTTTAATGGGAGTTTTTCTTATAAATTTAAGTTTCTTGTAGACTCTGGATATTTAGTCCTTTGTCAAATGGATTAATTGCAAAATTTTTCTCCTATTCTGTAGGTTATTTTACTCTGATGATAGTTTCTTTTGCTGTGCAGCTGTTTAGTTTATTTCCCATTTGTTTATTTTTGCTTTAGTTGCAATTGGTTTTTGGCATTTTTGTCATGAAATCTTTGCCCCTGCCCATGTCCTGAATGGTATTGCCTAGGGTATTTATAGTTTTGGGATTTACATTTAAGTCTTTGATCCATCTTGAGTTAATTTTTGTATATGGTGTAAGGAAGGGGTCCAGAAAAACTAGGTAACTTCTTAACAGGTTTATTTCTTAAACTTTACCTTTCATCTGAAATAAAATTCTAAAATAGTAGTTATTAAAATGTATATTAGTCAAGTAAAGCTTAAGATGGCCGACATATGAAATGCAGTGGGCCTTCTTCATGTGTGTGTACATGTATATAATTATACAAATATATATTACTATACATGTGTATGGTAATAATGTAACCAGTGTATTAAAAGCTGAAATAAATGTAAAAGACCTGCACCTTTCCCACAACCAGTGGTATCCACGAAAGCCACCATTAAGAATTTCTTACGTATCTTCTCTAAAATATTCCAGGTACGTACATGTAAGCATCTGTTTCCCCACCTCACCCCCACGTTATCGACTATTCTTGGTGTTTTTCACTTAGCAAAATACATTGAACTTCATTCCAAAAAGCTAATTTTTTTGTTGTTTTAAATAGCTGTATTGTATTCTTTAACTCTATTCCCCTTTAACAGACGTTTAGATTGTTTCAGCTTTTTAGCTACCAGAAACAACTTTAGAATAAACATCTTTGGACATTAACCTCTGTATATCCACAGGATATTTGCCTAGAAGAGCATTTTTCAAATTAAATAAAATATAAAGTTAACATTTTGAAAAAAGATTGCCAATATGCTCTCCAAAACCATGTCAATGTGCTATTTTCTGAAATGCAGTTAAGAAAATACATATTTAATTTATAACTTTTGAAACATCAAACAACATTAAAAATCCTAAGAAATCATCTGCCATTAACTCCATTAGCTATTTTAAATTATTTTCATAACTAAAAATAATTAAGAGTCTTGAGGACAAACAGACATGAGTTCATGTCCCAGATTTGGCACTTTGGACTTGTGTAACTTTTTTTTTTTTTTAAGATACGGGGTCTTACCCTACTGCTCAGGCTGGAGTGCAGTGGCATAATGATAGCTCATTATGGCCTTAACCTCCTGAGCTAAGGTGATCCACCTGACTCAGCCTTCAAAGTAGCTGACTACACATGAATGCCACTATGCCAGGCTAATTTATTTATTTTCAAAATTATTTATTTATATATTTTTAGAGATGCAGTCTTGCTATGTTGCTCAAGCTGGTCTCGAACTCCTGGCTTCAAGTGATTCTCCCACCTCAGTCTTCTGCATAGCTGGGATTATAGGCATGAGCCACAGTACATGCATGACCTGTGTGACCTTTGGCAGGCTACTTAATCCTTTTCAGCCTTCATTTTTGTCTTTTCTTTGCAAAATGTGGAAAATAATAGTTTCTGCTAATAGGGTTATTAATGAGGGTTAGTATACAAAATGTTTTTTGAATAGAATAGCCAAACAAAGTATGTGTTTAACTCATAATGTGTGACCTAAATGATTAACAAACAATAAAAGCATATATCTACTTATATTTCAAAAAAAAAAAAAAAAAAACAGTGACTATTACAAATCTCCATGAATGAACTGATTTTTATTTTCTCTGAGTCTTGATTCCTAAGAATATAAAATCTTCACCTGAACTTCTCACAATCAGAAAGTGTTGATTTCTGGGCAGAGATTACTATGAAATCCAATTCATTCAGGCTCAAAGTACCTTAATAAATGATAAAATTCTGCAGGGCGTGGTGGCTCACGCCTATAATCCCAGCACTTTGGGAGGCTGAGGCGGGTGGATCACAAGGTCAAGAGATCAAGACCATCCTGGTCAACGAGGTAAAACCCCGTCTCTACTAAAAATACAAAAATTAGCTGGGCATGGTGGCGCGTGCCTGTAGTCCCAGCTACTCGGGAGGCTGAGGCAGGAGAATTGCTTGAACCCGGAAGGCGGAGGTTGCGGTGAGCCGAGATCGTGCCATTGAACTCCAGTCTGGGTAACAACAGCGAAACTCCATCTCAAAAAAAAGATAAAATTCTAATTAAAAGAAGAGAACTTTACTAATAGAGATTGGGGTTTAAGTTTATAAGACTCCAATGTTATTGTGCACTTCTCTACCTATGATAAAACCACTTCTAAGAAAACATTTTAATAATGTTGCCTGGTGATTTATAAACAATATTTACTTGAGAATGGCTATAAAAAGCAAACATAAAATTTCAATGTTGCAGCTGATTTCAAGCATTCCTTTTAATAGATTCTAAGTACCAATATTTCCCAGAGGTATGATCACCTCAAGTCTTCTCTCTATATATGAAATTGTAACATGCTCAGTTTGAAACATCAAAAATCATTTAAAATAGACACCACAAGATGTATCTGTAGTTTAAAGGTCAAATTTATTAGGAGATTAAGAGATGTGTTATACATGGACTATAAATACTGCACAGCTGACTTTATTCACAGTCAAGCACAGATATAGTCAGTGCCAACTTATTTTGTGGATACTCTTGTTCTTTTGTTCCAAGAAAAGTTTGCACCATAAGACTTGGACTTGGGTTTTGGAACTCTCCTCTCTTCAACATCATAGCTCCATCCTAGGGGGAAAAAAAACAAAGAAATCTCCAGAAACAGAATTAAAAAGGATACCTGAAGAGCCCAGCAAGCAGAGGCTAGCTTTTATAACTTAATGTTCATTTATCATCAAGAGTATATGTCAACACATCTGAAATATAAATAATTAGTATTTGTTCCCTTGTAATCCTCTGTGAGAAAAGGGTCCAAAAGATTGCCTGCAGAAGATATAAACTATGATTCAATTTCTCTTCGCTCAGTTACTGATATTGATGTATTATGTATAAATTTCTATTACTCTGTGGTTTAACACAGGATTTTTAAAATAGCTGCAATGAAGAGTGAAGAACAATGTAACCAATCTCACTATTCTTCTAAAAGTTGGTTTATTTACAAGTCTGGAGCTCTTCCAAAGGGATACAGAAAAATATGTACGTGTGTGTGTGTGTGTGTGTGTATGTGTGTGTGTGTGTGTGTGTGTGTGTGGACTACATAGTTGAAGTGGACCATGAGAGGTTACTTGGTTCAATCCCTTGGAATTGGACAGGCTGATTAAACTCAAAAAGATTTTCAACATTTGTTTCAAGAGCTGTCTGCACTAGGTGGAATCACATGGGAGTACCCGATAAACAGTGCAAATTGTTAGGCCTGCGCAAAGACCCACTAGATCAGAATCTCTGGTGGAGGCCCAGGAAACTACATTTTAACTATCAATTCCAGGAGATTTTTATGCTTAAAAAATAAGGACCACTAATCAAAGCTGTCTATTCTCTTCCGAGTATTTCTATTTTCCTTCCAAAGCCATTTTAGTATTTTGTAATTTTGAAAACTGGGTATATGTATGTCTACATTTTCTGCATTAAGTCCTATTCTTCAGTTCTCCTAAAATATAAAAAACAAATTAACATCCTCCTCCTCAAAAATATAATGAAGCCATTCTTTTATTCCCTAAGCTAGGCAACCCCTATAGCATTCACTTTTCTTCATAAAGTTCATTTTTTCACACCTGTAATTTATCCTTCTTCTCTCAGGACTTAATTCAAATAACTCATATTGAAACATCGAATTCATGGCTGTATCATGCAGTCATATACAAAATGTCCAAAATGTGATTATTATATGGTCTAATTAAGTGAGCTTCTTGATCTTGGTGAATATAGTACTTTCTGCCACAAAGTTTACATCTCAATAGTCCCTTAGTTAGTATTCAGTTTTACCACAAAAATTAAGCCTATGAGACTCAACTCATCAAAGTATACTACTGCTACTGTACACAAAGGAAAATAATAACATTTAATATAGTATTTTAAATTAAGCTTGTAATCTATTTTATCCATAATATTACATTCCCAACTGCTGGAAACCACTTAAGATGGCCTATACAGGGAAGCCCTCCCTCTCTGAGAAGTGGGCAGAAAACAGTAACTGCAAAGGCACTGAGGCAAGAGCACTCCTGGTGTACCATGCAGTATGCTCTAGGCCCCATGCTGAGTGCTTTAAATACATTTTTATTGAAATTTTTTGTATGGAGTTTATAGGTTGCATGGCTATAAGGCAGGCATTATATATATATATCTTAATTTTATATTAATTTGTAAGAAAAAATATAGCACAGAGAAAATAAACAGCCTAAAGTCACAGGGCTAGTAAGTGACAAAGCCAGGATTTTGAACCGAGATGGACTTTAACAGCTACCTACTTCATTAATAAAACTGCCATTCCTTTAAAATACCCTGCAATTACAAATTTTATCTATTTAATTCATTTCCTTTTATTTGAAAAAGTATGTTGAAAAGACTTTAAAGAATCCCTGGAAAATAAATCTATGTTCCACATATGCTTTTCCACAATTGTGAGGAAGGAAATGGTTTCTAGTGTAGATTCTGTATTTGGTTATAATGATCACTGGCAAATTAACCCAAGACCTCCATGATCTTTTCTTGCCAAATGATAGGTAAAAAACCTAAGTTCTCCCTCCTTTCACTACCTCCCAACACACACTCTCCAGATCAATAAAGACATTAGGAAAGAAACTGCAGAAGTGAGAAAGCACTCCAATATTTAGGAACTAGTACTATACACACAAACACAAACTTGATAATCACTCTCTAATTCACTCAATTACTCTTTCAGCCACCAGGGAGAATTCTTTTTACTACAACAGATCTCCAGCACAGATCTATTATCTATTCTGGTTATGAAGTTTCAAAATGTGGTCAGGGTCACGTGAAAAGAATGAAGTTTTATACACATAAAAGAACAACTGGTTTGGGTAGTTTTATACACAAAAGAACAACTGGTTTGGGTTTTCTCCTGGTAACTAAGGAGTGAGCTGGCTCCTGGGAATTGTGAGCCAGATTACAATTGCTGTTGGTGGTGATAACAACAATAAATAGAAGTATCAGGACAGGGATTGGAATGTGGATGGTCAAAGCACCCTGTGAAAAACAAATAAAAATATACGTAGAAGAACCCTGCATTTGCTAATAGGATCCATCTCTATATAATTACCACTGGCCACTCATGATTGTTAGGATGTGTAAGCCAAAAAATTTATTATCTTTCCATTTTTTCTGTGGCAAACAACTTTGTTTCTAAAGTTGTACATGCAACTGTGCTTCTCTAAGTAAATGCAAAGGAGTATATGAGGAAGTCCAATGACAATTCACAATAGAGACTGAAACTAAAATCAGAATCCCTTTGGATTTTCTATTCATTATTCAGAAAACTTTCCTACTATGTAGGGCTGTCATAATAATAAAAATTTGCTGTTTTTTGAGATACTGTTAAGAATCTGATCACATTTCCAAGCATCTTCCTCCAAAGTATTTATCTTACAGTGCCTGGATAAACAAATTTACTGGTACCACTATACTCGAATATAAAGGTTACTTGAGCAAATGGTGAGGTTGAGCTAAAAAGATAAGAATCTAAGAATAACAACACTGGAAAGGACATTAAGCATGTTTGCTTAAGAATGGATAAGTTAGATGAATTATACTCATCTTTTCTACTTCCCATTTGAAACTTGTTCCTAAAAAGAATATCTTGCAAGAAATAAAATATAGATATGAAATGTTTTAAATTCTATAAGAGTATCTTTTTTTTAACTCTAAATTTTTTTTTTTAATTAAAGAAAGAGCCCAAACTTTTTTTCTGAATGGGAACACAGAAGTGAAAACACTTGCACTCTCTGAAGAATGCTTATATAAAATGAAGGTGTAGTCTACAATCACAGTGGTCCCATATGTTGTCCTATTAGGGCACTGAAAACTAGCCCTTGCTCTTCCCAGCTGTGCAACAGAAGATCAAAGCAACGGAGTCCAAGGCAGCTGCCCCAGGGATGGGTAGAGCTCCTACTGCTGCCGTCACTTCCTAGAGGAGAGTAGCCATATGGCACAGATTTGCCACAAACCCAACTACCAGCATCTAAATGATGACAAGCTGACTCTCTTTGCTGTTTCACATACTGAAACATTTTCACAAATATATTTTGAACTTTAAGCCCTAGTATCAGAGAAGTACCTTTGGAAAATGCTATAGTAAACTTAAAATGTGATCTTTAACATCCTATGCCCAATTTCTTTTTCTGAAACATGCCAGTTTATTTTGTAGGTCACTACACTGTGGTTGGAATATTCTATTTCCTATGACATAAATGGTATAATCTTTTCAAATGCCAAAAAAACCCAATCTCTGAACAAAACCAGACCACAATTGTGAATTCCACATAAGAGACAGAAAAATAGAATTAACTCCATTCATTTTTATACAGAATCATTTCGTTTATGGTTCAGCAATTCAAAAATACAAACACCCATCAGTTCTTTTACTGCTTGTGAAATGTTTTACCTCAAGTAACCTTGATTAACATCCCGTGAAAGGTCTTTCTTCTCTAATAACCTAATCTCAAACCCTGACATGAGTTTGGAAGTGAACAGCTAAGTGATTTATCCTACTCTCCATTTGTGCACAGAACAAGAACTACCATGTAATTTGGCACAAACTGATGTAACTGACAGTCACTTCCAACTGAAGCATGGGTTCAGAAGAGCAAAGCTTTGGGAGGCCAAAAGCAAGGTATACTGGTACTTGGAAGGTTTCAAAATTCTTCACTAGGCTCCACATTATATCTGGCTGAAAGCAAAGCATAACTCTAACATATAATTTTAAGGAGGAGAAAAAAAAATAGCTTTTTGGGAATTTCACTTTAAAAGTCTCTTTACTTTGAAATTACCAATTAGGTATGTAATATCTGGGTGGGGTGGGGTAGGGGGTAAATAGTTCAGAATAATAAAGTATCCTAGATCTTCTTTAGAAATTACTATGGAAAAACAACAGTGGTTTTGGATATACTGGCAAAGCAAGTCTTCCCATGAAATTTGCATAAAGTGATTTAAACAAGCAAATAAGGTGAAAACATGAGGCACCTGAAATATTTGTTAGATTATAATACCCTACACCTGCCATAGTTGTGCCACCTCTTTAAGAACAAAACCCCAAAATACCATTTTGATGTAATAGTCAATGGCCCCCTGAAATTTTACCTTTTCAAATAATATACTTGCTGTATAATATTACCATTATTTTTAAAGCAGTAGTTGGAACTATTCAGCATTTGCCACAAAACAAGCCAAGACAGTAATCCATTTACTCCAGCTTTTGTGCTTCAAAAGTGCATCTGAAAATCAGTCATCAGAAATTTAGAACACATTTCTGGAGAAAAAAAACTATACAAATAGCCAAAAATTACTCCCAAAGATTTGCAAGCTACGCATAGGGATTCTCAGAATCTTATTTAACCTATAATAAACCAGGAATGTCGTAAGCCACCACATGTAATTCTCTCTCATGCTCTTTCTTTTGCTCTTGCCTTAGCAGTATCTTCCTAGCCACAGACAGGACCTGGGATTAGAAATTGAGAGGAAAAAGCTATGTAGGAAAAAAAAAAATCTTTGTTAGGTTGTAGTACAAATAATCATCATTTGCAGATTCTGCATTCGTGAATTCACCTATTCACTAA